GGGGAGGAGGAGAATGAGGAGAAGAAGGAGGTCGAGGAGGAGGATGAGGAGAAGGAGAAGGAGGAGGAGGAGGAGGAGGAGCAGGAGCAGGCGGAACAGGAGCAGGAGGAGGAGGAGGAGGAGGAGCAGGCGGAGCAGGAGGAGCAGGAGGAGCAGGAAGAGTAGGAAGAGTATGATAAGCGGGACCTTCAGGAGGTGGTGGTTGCAGCCAAGAAATGGAAAGTGGAACGTTTTGCACGCGCGCCAGACAACAGTTCGACTAAGGTTCCTTGTTGGATTCGTGGGTCCTTCCAGTTAGTTGAACGTCCTCCCTGGTAGCAGAACGCCGTTGGGGAGGGGCCATATTCCCAGCCACACTGTCCATCGCGCTCGCGCCTCTTTCCTGGCCCTCCTCTCCTCTTCGCGCCCTCGCGCCATCGCGCTCGCGCGCGCTCGCGTCGCCAGCGCCCGCGCGACCGCGCGCCCGCGGGCGCGCTCAGGGCTGCGTCGCCGGTCGGCGGTGCCGCGGCGAAGGGCCAGGGGGGCAGAAGAGTGGCCGCCATTGCTGCCCCGTCTGCTGCCGCCGCTGCCGCCGTTGCTGTGTCGCCGCTGCGGCCGCTGTTGCCGTTGCTGTTGCTGCTGCTGTTGCTGGTGGTGGTGGTGCTGCTGCTGCTGCTGCGTGTGCGCCTGGGCACCCCGCCCCGTGCAGGCCCTCCTGGGGCGCCTCAGAGGGAGGAGGAGGAGGAGGAGGAGGAGGAGGAGGAGGAGGAGGAGGAGGAGGAGGAGGAGGAGGAATAGGAGGAGGAAGAGGCGGAGGAGAAAGGAGGAGGAGGAGGAGGGAGGAGGAGGAGGAGAAGGAGGAGGAGGACGACGACGAGGAACAGGAGGAGGAGGAGGAGTAGGAGGCGGAGGAGGAGGACCAGTGCAAACCAAAGAGCCATCAACGATGTTGGAATTCACCCTCCTTTCAAGCTTCCTCTTCACAGGCCCCTACAACGGTTCATTTCCATTGAGGGAACTGTCTCGTTGGAAGACACCCTTGAAGACCCTGCAGTATGCCAAAACATTGTTCTCGGGATTTCAGCGCAACGGATTAACCTGACCGCTGCGTCTTGAAGATCCGGATCGTGCCATAACGCCATTTTTGGGACTTCAACACCGCGAATCAACATAAGTGTTGCACCCGCATGATCCTGAATCCTTCCAAACATACTTTCTAGTATGTTGATCATGGGAATCCGTGAAACTCGTCCAAATGTTATAAGCGCATGTGCGCGGCGCTAAGGCAAGAGCACCATTTTGAAAAGGAGCGGCCCTCAATATGTGAAACTCTTTTAATTAAAGCAAAAAACGAATGTGCGCGGCGCTAAGGCGAGAGCCGCATGTTGAAAAGGAACCGCCCTCAATCTTGAAACTTTTACAATTTTTCAGAAGGAATGTGCGCGGCGCTAAGGCGTGAGCCACATTTTGAAAAGGACCCGCCTTCAATCCGTGAGACTCTTGCAATGTTGTAGAACGAAGGTGCGCGG